AATCAAGGTTAAGTACGTCTGGATACCTTTGTCTACATTTAGATTCAAATTGGATGTAAATTGAGTTCTTCTGGATTTTTACTAAACTAGGTTATCCTCTCGAATGATTACTCTATTTCGGTTAAATGACTGCACTTCACCTCTCAATCCAAAATTCAGTTGTTACATGTGTCAGCTGCGGGCACTTACGTACTTTCATTTTCAAAACAAAGGCTTTGTGGAAGCCAGTCTTACACACTCTCAACTCCAAGGGCGCGCGGTAGCTAGCGTACAGTAGCTGAAAAGACAGGAGAGGATGCTATTTTCCTAGTGACGACAAGGAAGTTGAATTTTTCATGTGAATTAGCAGCTTAAGATAAAAACTCTAGGGAAGGGTAGATTCACCAAATCTTAAAAAGCACAGCTGGTGTGCCTTTTCACTATTTTACCCTATGTTAGCTAACACAAGGTAAGACCACAGCTTATTTTTGCCTTGTGAATGTGAGACTCAAGGAATTTATGTTTATTGCAGAAAAGATCCCTAGGAAATGTGTCTGTGATCTAACCTCAGGTGTGACCCCTCCGTTCAGAATTCATCACATGTTTCCCATTAAGACAAAACTCTCTTGACACCGTAATTCTTTCTTCCTCCATTTTGAATCTACAGCTTGAGATTGAAACCACTTTTCACACCTTGCAGAAGGTGCGTAACTCCAGTTTTCCCACACGTTCCCCATGCAAAGTCATTTTGGGCTCTCCAGACAAAAGTCTGCAGCACAATTCAGAACAGGCATGAAATAAATAACTGAAAGAACACTGCACTCATAGTATTATTTGTCATCAGAGCTAGCACAGTAAAAATCTTGGCTTTCAGTTTACTTAAATCTAACACAGAGAGCAGGCACTGTAAGGAGCGGGAATATCCTCCGCTTTTTCTAAAACAGTTTCTTCAACAACAACTTTTTTTGCCCATATTTAACTCGTTTGGTAGTCAAAATCTTGCAAGAACAGCATGAGGTCAGTCTCTTAAAAAGATGGATCACTTCACCTTTTCAAGCACTGATGGGGACAGACGTAAGTACATAGGACCGCATTCAGAGGGCCCGCGTTCCTGCATGAAGCATTTTCTGCTGGCTAGCTTGAGGCCTTTGGAGGCATCTCGCCAGCTTCTTGATTCAGAGACTTCAGTGCTTTCACTGGCATTATATATTCACACTACACGGCACTCAGGATAACACATCCCATTCCCCTCCACCCCCCGCCAAACTGGAGCACTAGGAAGGAAGCCCAGTGTAGACGCAGACCCGCAAAACCAGCCTCCATCCAAGGGGGTAAACTTTAAGCTTTCTAGTGAATCCCATTTCACCTGTGTTCTCCCACTTTCTGGGGTAGCCCAGCCTTCTATTGACCTAGATAATGGAAAGATGATTATTCATTTGAATTCCAAAAGAACGAGTAGTGGGCTGTTAGCTCTAACTGCTGCGCTGTAATAGGAATATACACGCACGCACACATACAATTATTGAACTGCTTTTAGAACGGTAAATTATTTCATTTTAACAGTAATATCTACTTATTCATGCACATGTCTTAATCAGATTTCTAAAATCCTCAGGATAATTTTTTCTTGAGTGTGGCTATTATTTATCAGTCTGTTTTCAGCTTCATTATCTTCCTAGCACTACCCTTCAAAATAAAACAAAAAACAATCAGAACATAACATTAACAAGCATGAGAAAACAGTAATGCTGTTTATATTTAAAATATCACTTTGAGGAAAAATTGAAATGCTGCCAAGACACTTCAGAAAATGAGATATACCAGAAAAAAATAGAAAAAATGGGATTTACAGAAGTTATGTGATGCCCACAGTATTAATACGCTTCTTCACAGGGACACACATGAAGGAGAAGAAACATCCCAAAGTCTGTTGTAACGACAGCAGCTTCAATCTACACCAAAGCTTTATTAAAAATGATCTCTCCTGATCCTAATGTGTTAAATGTCAGATTCTGTCACCCTGGTGGATGGAGTCCTAGTCATCAGAATGTCTTATCAATATTGATTATATGGTTTCCATTGCAATTGACTGAAAATTTTCCAAAATAGTTCATGGCTGTTGGAAAATGATGATTCAACAAAATAACAGTATTTTATGAAAATTCATTGTTTTGTTTCATTTCACGGGAAATTGAGGAAACATTCAATTTTCCTTTCATCACATTGAATTTTATGCAATTATATGACATAATGAAATCTCCCATAAAAGCTGAAACACCAATGACAAATTAAAACATTTTGACGTGTTTAATTTTGCAACACTGCACCATTACTTCTATCTGGATTCAAAACGCATGTAAAAACATCAGAATTTCTCACAGGCAAATTTTTTTTTTGTAATCTGAATACTGGTATTTACAGAAAAATACTAAGAAACAGGATTAACTGAGACACTTGGTATCCTGGTATCGTTTTAGTAAGAGTCCCAGCAGCAGTAAAGCTGCCTTCCCTGGAGGCAGCCACCCAGCTACATATCTCCAGGGACTCCTGTCCACGCCATCACTGTGAGAAATACACTCTCACCCTTCCTGAAACCCTTGCGACACAGGTGGCCCTACAGCGTGCCCGATCTGAGCGAGTCCTCACCCAGACGGAGCAGAAAGTGCCAAACTCGCAGCCCTCTCGGAAGGAATGCCCTGCCCTGCCAACAGCCATCCTCAGAGAGACAACAGCTGACCACAGCTGTGGCATGAACTTGGGCACTCCCAAAGGTACTGCACCCTTTCCTCATGTGGTTTCTCTAAATTGTAACATCTCATGACAGGTTGAGAGCCCTGCCAGGCAAATTTTCCATTTTACCTCCTATCTTTCAAAGGATAAACATTATTATGGGGCTAGATTGTACCACCAGGTGCAATCACAAGGAGAGAGAGGTGGCAGCAAGCCTCAGAGGAAAAATTCCTCCTGGGGGCACTCATGGAGAGGCAGAGCAGCATTTCTGAAAATCCATCTTTACAATGAAGTAACTGAACCTTCTTAAGCTATGCCCTTTCCTTTCCCTCTACTCTGTACATCCAGCTGGGGTCAGGCAGGGGAAGCCACACGATACTACGTATCTGCCTCTCGTCTACTTCAAACTCCTCCTGACTCCTGACAAGCGCAGCTGAGACCTGGTATCCCTGATGTATCCATAAAGCTAGAAGAGGTGACTTTTTTTTTTGTTCCTGTAATAGTGCTAGTCACTCTGCAGCCCTGTGATATCATAGTCACATCATCCAAACAGCAATTTTGCTGTGGTCCGAGGAAAATGAACCACTGTGCTAATTAGAGGATGATGTTACCACGGGACCTGCTGCCCCATTAGCACCAGTTCATAGGATGCACTCTGACAGAGGAGAGGCTGTGCCAGGGCTCATCCCTCTCCCTGTCATCACGTCTGCATCCAGCCAGCAACCATCACAAAACTTATTAAACTTTTGTCTTGCTAATAACTGTAAACGGTAGCTAGAAAAACACAAAGGGACCCACAGAACAGTATGCGAATTCATTTTCAGCACACGTTTTGCAAAGCAAAATGACCACAGATGAGTAGACCGTCGGCTTTGGATTTCATAAATTCTGCAATGAAAACAAACATGGGATTATCCGGAATAGCTGGATCCGCTACCGGCGTTTTCCAATAATCACAACACTGTTGAATAACTGGATGCTTTCTGGAAAACAAACAAAAAATCAGCACTGTTAGACGGACTCTGTAAGTTTTCACCCCTTACTTAGGAGAAACCGCCTTTATCCTCTGCCTGCACCACGCGGGAAACGCCTCCAGGTGGGTGCGATGACCTCCCTTTTTTCAGCTCACCTCCTGCGGGCAGCCCGCGCCTTCCCGGGGAACGGGGGGTGGCGGCAGGGGGGCCTCCCCCCCGCCCCGGGCAG